CACTGAGCTAAATCCCCAGCCCCCCTACAATATCAGTTCTACCAAGTCATGAACACAATAATTTTCTCTTCAGCAAAGTCTTCTGTTTTCTTCATCAATACTTTACAATTTTCTGTGCGTAATTCTTTCATCTTTTTAGTAAAGTTTATTTTTAAATTTTATATTCTTTTTGTTGTCATAAATGATGTTGATTTCTTAATTTCATTTTTAGTATGTTTGTTGTTTGTGCAAAAATATTCCACAGAGTTTTGTACATTGTTTTTGCATTCTTCCTCTGTATCAGATTTATCTATATATTCTAACAATTCTTTGTTGAGCCTTTAGGGTTTTATATCTATCTATATCTATATATTATCTATATCTCTCTATCTCTATATCTATCTATCTACCATCTATTTATGTATCTATCATCTATCTGCCTATCATCTATCTATCTATCAATCTATCATCTATTACCTATCTATCTATCTATGGTTACATCATTTATAAACAGAGGTAATTTTTCCTGTTCTTTTTCCTGCCCAATTTTTTGCCTTTGAACAATTTTTCTTATCTAGTTGCTCTGGGAAGGATTTCTGGTATTATGGTGACTAGAAATGGTGAGACAGGACATTAAAGCCTTTCATATTTATGCATTGATTTCTTTAGATTCAAGAGCTTTTTAAAATGGTTTCTAGTTTTTATTAAACTTCTAAGTTTGTTCTAGTATTTTATTGTTGATTTTATTTGTCTACCTGAATTCTCTTTGCCCATAAAACTTTCAAAAGATAATTATTTTTAATTATGTCTCACACAGTTTGTAGATCTCCACTTCTTTAAAATCAGTTACTTGAGTTTTAGAAGTATTCTTTTTACGGAGCTGTGTTTGCTGGAGTTTTCCTGGTCTGCATAGCTTTGAGTTAGTATTTGTGCATTTGAAGGAACTGATGCCTCTTATTGGTTTTACACACTGGTTTAAGCAGGTGAAGACATTCTCTGGCAAGTCTGTAAATGTGGGGCTGCCTTCAGGACCATGTTCCAGTCTGGCTGGAGCTGGATCACAGGCTGCATTTAGGTTCACAGCCAGGACCCCAGTCACCAGGTGTGACAGCAGAGGTCCTCCTTGATCTTGGGATCTTTAAGGGTTTATACCCTTCTACACAGGTTTTTTTTTGGAGGGGCAGGGGTTTTCACTATGTAGTGCAGGCTGACTTTAAACTCACTGTGTAGCTTAGACTAGCCTTGAACTCATGACAATTCTCCTGCCTCAGCCTCCTGAATGCTAGGGCTACAGGTGTGTGCCACCACACCCACCTCTACATAGGTCTTGAGCACTTTTGTCCACAAACTGCTGCCAGATTATTTCTATAGAAGGAAGTGGGCTAAGGACATTTTATTCCACCCTCTTTTTGTCTCTTAGCTATTTTTAAAAAATGCTCAGAAATCAAGGCTTTGTTGTCTGTATTATTTTGCTATTTCTATTTAGCTGAAAAAGAAATGGCATGAAAATAGTGCTCTTGATTAGATCCAAAGTTAATGACAGGATCTATTTCTATCTTATTTGCAATGTGAACCTCACAGTATTTTCTATGAAGAAACAGATCAAAGAAGATCAAGGGTACCACTAAAGGCAGTTATCACACTTAGCAAGTTCATTCCCCTGGAGAAAATTTTATATAGCTAAAAAGGGTTTCTGTGTGACTTCAAAGTGCAGTCTTTCCCCCTCACATTAGGCCAACATCATCCTTCTGGATGAATACTCTAGAAATACAGAGACTGAATCTGAGCAGAACCTTAAAGGGCACCAGGAATACAAAATTGCATATGTGAGCTGGAGTGGCTTACAGACACAGTACATGCTTGCTTAGTGTGTGAAGGACTGTTGGTTTGATCTCCAGCACAGAAAAAAGCTGCATATGGTTTCAACATTGTTTTCATCTCAGGTGAATGATGCCCATGCCCATTGCAGTCTAGACGAATGAAGCATTTGGACCCATCTCAGAACTCAAGCAGCTGAGGTGAGCTCTTCATGCCTGTTCAGGCTTCTCCTTCTTGGATGGTTAAGAATTACGCAGACACCCTTTTAAACTGGTACCATCCTATGTATTTTTAAGGGGGCAGCATGGTTCACACAATCAAACAACCTCCTACTTCTACCTGAGTATCACTTACTTGACTGCTCCGGGATTAGGTTCTGGTCATGGGCTCCTGGCTTCTTATACTTAAGTTTGTAATCCACACTTATATTAAATTTATCGAGCAGTTCCTGGAGAATTTTATATTTTTACCTAAGAAGTGCTTTTCCAACAAGGTTAGTGACTTTAGTATCCATTGCTTTCCTTTAAACTTGTATATAAATTAGAGGTTACAGAATTTCTAATTCAAAATAGTGATTCGGAAGACTGTGCTTCTAAAACATGTGCATGAACCATAATTTTTATAGCTCCTCCTAGAAGGTAATGTAAGTGGAAATATACACACACATATATATGTACACATGTGTATACATACACACACATATATATATATATATATATACAAATTTCCCTAAGTGGAGAATCAGACACAGCCTGTTCTCTATGGAGATCCAACGCCTGCATTTTAAGCCTAAGAAGCACAGACGGGGTGACAGACACATCAGAAAAGCAGAACTGAGACTGGACAGACTATCCCTTACACCCTTCGCTTAGCGCTTCGTGCAGTGCCTGGCTGACCCTTATATCGACCCATTTTACAGATGAGAAAACAGAGACCAAGAGTTCTTTCAATGACCCAAAGTCACAGTTACTGATGGAGAAAGGCTCTGCTAGGGTCTCCAAAACTTCCTCGGGAAATGGCAGTGAAGCTCTGTAGGACATCTGTTTAAAACACCCATACTCCTAGGCCTCCAAGCCAAACCCCAAGGAGGAAGCAGGGTATCTGCATTTTTAAACATTTTTATTTATCTTCAGAGGAATGAGAGATTCGCCCCCCGCAGCGCACCGCGCACGGCTGCCTCCCGGACGGCAGGGGGCGCGCCTGGCCGCGGCCAGGTGACCCCGCCGACCCGGACCCCACAAACACGCCCTCCCGGGCTGGGACCCGCGGGCGTTTCTCAGCAACTTTGCATTCGCGCCGCCCTCGCCCAGGGGCCCGGCGCGGGTGCAGTCGTGTCCCGGGCCCGTGCGCCCCAGGCCCGGCGCCCCGCTGCGGCCCCCTTACTTGGCATAGTAAACCCAGCCGTCCTTGGTGGTTCTCTCCTCCCAGCCCGGGGGCAGCTCGTCCTCGCTGTCCGTGTCGTCCAGGCCGGCGTAGCGCAGCGCGGCCATGGCGGAGAGCGGCGAGAGCAGCGATGAGAGGTGGCGCCCGCCCGCCGCCGCGGGTCCGCCGCCAGGAACTCACTCCCGCTTCAACCGAGCGCCGCGCGCGCCGCGCCGAC